AGCGGGTAACAGAAAAACAGAAAAATGAACGTGTTAAGAAACAGCTCCAGGTAATGAAGATTCATAGTTGTAGCAACAGAATTCAGGCTTTGGGTTTTCATTCTTTGTTAAAAATCTCACTGGAATTACGGTGTGCCAAGGAAACAGCCTTTTTCTCATTAATAGGTTTATTACTAATTTACCAACCAGTATTATTTATAGTGTTCTAGAAGTGGAATAGATAGAAAGATTGGTTGTAAGGGTGTGCTTTATAGCTTACAAGTGTTAGTTTGCTGTCGCATTGCACAGTAAACATTTCTAGTAACTACATTGAATGTTACAACGTAATGTTTTCCTTTCTCAATACTGAAATTCATTAAGTGGTATGAACAGATGCTTGCCTAATAGTATTTGTGTTTATTTGCAGTCATTCACAAATTATATAAATGCAAAAAACTGATTTATGCCCATTTTGCATTAGCCTTATTTCTCTGAAACAGAGAATTTCCTCTTAGACTAGTATTACCCCTCCAAATATTATAATCTGTGTTAGTGGTGGCCCTTCACCTTGTAATGAAATGTCTATTTGGGAAGGAAATCAAAGAAATGGAAAACTGCTTCTTTTTCTGGCAGCAGTATCTTAGTTGTGAGTGTGTAATATCCTTTCCTGCTTGGCCCATCACTGAACAAGACCAGGGAGTTAAACAAGAGTTCTCTTTAGTCAAGCAGAAATTGAAAAAAAAGGTAATTCTCCTGCTTTCTTGCTGGTCCCTTTCTTCTTGGGTGTTGTAGTAGGAGGCCTCATTTTTTTTAATCTGGTGCCTACTCTTGTGTAAGGAAAGAATCCTATGCTTTCCTTCTCCTTCCCTCTTCAGACTTTCTGATAGACCTGACAACTTGGGTTACCGAACAGCAAAACAAGCATTTCATAGGTTGGCATTCAAGAAATCCTTATCCGGGTTGCGGAGTAGTTGTTATCAGAAATTCCAGAATCATTAAAAGATAAGTCAAAGCACTTAAACACAAATATTTTATTCAACAGGCTTTAAGTTCTGAGTTGGCTCAAGCCAGAGATGAAACCAAGAAAACACAAAATGATGTCCTTCATGCTGAGAATGTTAAAGCAGGCCGAGATAAGTACAAGACTCTCCGACAAATCCGACAAGGCAATACAAAGCAGCGTATTGATGAGTTTGAAGCAATGTGAGAGCTGTTCTTTTGCATATATGTTCCTCGTAAAGCTGAACCACCAACAGAGAAAAAAGCAGGCCTTTGCATATTTGATGGATTGCACCCCACTTTGCCAAAGCACTTAATACCAGTTTGACTACAGTGGCTAGAAGACAAATTTAGGGGAAGCTATTCAACAGCAAGGCAGTCTGTCATCCCTAGGATTTTCTGGGGGAGGGTGTGGAGAACAATAACAGGATTTTTTTCCCCGTCATGTTTTCAGTTTCACTGTTTCATTTTTTTTCTTTGGAAACTGATGTGAAGTATATTATGACTGACAAGTGTACCTTAAACATTAAGAAATAGAAGGGAAAATGGAACCAAACCTAAACTGGATAAGTACTATTTCAGTATGAAGTTTGAAATTACTTTTTCCAATGTAGCTACACCATTAAGAGTTTGATATTGCTGACTTTCAGTTTGTTTGTTTTTTTTTCTTCCCAAGTGAAATTCTTTGGTGTTTCATGTCCTGTCATCATTGATGGTTTTCTTTGCCTACCTGTTCACAAAGGTCTGGATGGCAGGTGGTAGTTCCAGGGAATATTTTTTTTTTAATGGAACGCTACCTGTGGGCAGCATGTGGCTGCTGATAGGCTTGAATAATTATTGCTTTTCCTAGGTGATTCTTTTAGATGTGCAAAATGTTCTAATGCAGCAAAAGGAAAAAAAATGCAAGGCTTGATTGTGCTATTTGCTTGTAATTATTTTATTTGCAGTAGGGAGACCTGGACCTTTCTGGCAAGGGAGCATATGAAAACATCAGTCCCAGGGAGGGGACAGTATCCTACCTCACTACTATATACATGATGACTGGTCCTTCAAACACCATGAAAAAACCCTGTCTAAATTGCCTGTGATGACACAATGATACTATAGAATGTTAGGAGCCCTTACTCCTAGGATTTTATTTTACTTTAAGGTCGATTTATAGTGCTAAATACTGTCTAGCTGCCTTTTGTTGAGCTGAAATTGTAAAAGCATCTCATGAGTTTTAAAGCTGTAACCTGTCACTGGTAAACTATCTTCTGGGAGGGGTGTAGAATGTGTGTGAGAGTTAGTCTGGTTTGGGGTTCCCAGGTACAAAATTAAAGTTCATGGAGTTGCAGTAAAAGTCTTTGTAGCTTCAGTTTTCAGGGAAGCTAGAATTGTAATTGTCATATCTGATGTCAGATCACTGTTGTTATTAGTCCTTTCCCTCTTGAAAGGAGACCTTTTTTTTTGGGGGGAGTTTGCTCAGAAATTGAACTTCAGAAATAACCTCACAGGTAATGTGGACTGCAGTTATTCCTTCTGTTATAGCACCATAGTAAATATCTACAGTGGAAAAACCCTGCTTTCTCTGAGGATGGTTCAGCTCTTTTCTGTTTGATATTATGCACTCATAAATTTACACTTATCTATTAAAATTTGCCATTTTATTAAACATTTTTTTCATGCACAATAGGTTTAAATTTCTTTTGGACAGTCCAACTAAATTTATTTTTTTGTGGAGTTAAAGGTTGGCTACATGGGGTGACATCATGAAAATAAAATAAAGATACATTAATATATTTTTGGTTTGTGGGGTTAAACATATCTGGTTGGCCTTGAAGACTGATGTGCAGATGGTGTGCACGTGCTTCAAAATGCTGCTTGGTGGAAGTTGGTGTTTCTACTTGCAGTGCATTGTAAGAACAGTTGTTGTTTCACAGGCTTCATACACTGAAGGTTAAGCAAATTTCTGCAATCTTTGAATAGTTTGCCATAGCAGGTGAAATACTGTGCTTCCAGTGAGTTTCCATTTTTCCCTGGAAAGTGCACTAACACTGATGCATCAGTTTCAGTGTTTGGAAAAAATACCAGTAAAGTTTGCTGTTCATAAATCTACAATATATAGAGTAGGGCTAAATGGATTAGATCCATTTATAAAGCTGTGTGATTTTTAATTTTTTTTTCTAAACAACCAGGAAAGAACATTTGTAATACAGATTTTCACAATGAACAAAGTGGTAATAGCTGCTGTCACCAGCAGTTGGGAACACTTACTGGTGCAGAAATACTAAGAATACATTTAATCATTACTTGGTGAAGTAATTTTCCACATGCTTTTTCCTTTAGCATCATGTTTTGTGTTGTATAATTAAGCTACAATTACATCTACTATTTTGGATAACATTCATTGGTTAACAATAAAGAGATACAGTTAATTTCTCTGAGGTCCATTGTTGTTATTTAATGCAATTTTTCTGACAGCTTTTCTAAATGCCCCATAATACCTTTTTCAAGAGGAGTGTACAATTTTTTTAGCATTTGTTTCTCACTCTGGTCAAAATGAAATTTAAAGAAAAAATTTTCAAATTGTATCCCTGGAGAGTGGTTCTCTGTTTAAGGAATTGCCACGAACAGTTGGGAGGAAGCACTGGTGATTGTCAACTCAAAACAGGATGTGAATCATCAGAGCAAATTTGCTTTCTTGAGGACAGAGGGTAATTTGGCCACATAAGAGTCCTATGGGTAATGTAAGAACTTTCGATCACTGCCTACATATAGCCCCAGGTTAAGTGGAATTTAGTTTAACAGGTCAATATCTTGAACATTGAGAAACCTCAATGTGTTTTTTATGCAGGGCATTGTAGTGAACAGTGCTGCCAAATACATGCATGGCCATATGCTTCAGATAATGGCAAGGTTATGGGCTTTGTCACTTGCCTGATGCACTTGGAGATGGCAGGAACAGTCCCAAATAAATAGGTAAACAAATTAGTCTGCTAAGCAGCTCTAACTAAATTAGCCCTCCTCTCAGGTGACATTCCATTCTATCTTGTATTTGTTTGGCCTTGCACTCAACACAAGCACATGACCCGTTCTGTTACTCTGTGTGGCAGAATTGCTGTGATGAATTAGAACATGTACTTAGTACTTCCAGCTGTGCATATCTAGTTTTGTACTTCTCTCTTATTGGAGCTCTCCTGCTG